ACATTGTTAATACTTCAACTTTACATCTTCAAGGAAACATCCCCTATTCTTTAACATAGGAGTGGCTGAAAAATTAGAAAAAACCCTAAGGCCTCCGGCGTACAAAACAAGATACATGCTTTTCTTTTTGCTCTGACGCGTGTGTGCTTAGCAAGTTTTACCGCGTCTGTGCCGTTCTCTTCAGGATCATCGTCATCTTATCACCAGCTGCTCTGTTTTTGTTTGTGACTTTCTCCTCTGTTCTCTTCATCTGCTAAAAAATCCCAACTTCACCTGTCCTTTATATCCAATCCTTATTATAAACACTGAGGATTGTATTTTCAAGTTCTTCGCTTCGTACTTACACTGAGTTTCTTGGAGTTCTCTGCTTCTTAGATAAAAAAAGGTAAGCTTTTTAGTTGCTTGCTTATCTTCTTTTTCTTTCCTTTGATGTATCATCACATAAATTGGAAGGAACGAGTACATATAATGGAAAGAATTTTTAGTGGTTTAATTGGTTGTAACGGCTTATTTGTCTTCTTTTCTAGGTTCCAATTCATGATAATTATAGACAGTTGCCTGTATTTTTGCTCTTAATTGATTTTAGGTAGTTTGATGGTTAGAAACTTTCTCTAACTTCTCTTTTATTTAGTTTTGATAGTGAATTAGGCTTCTTTTATGGTGTAGGGAAGTTTTACTTCAGTTTTCTTGTATGACTTTGAATTACGTTACACCAAATCCCCTAGGCTTAGGCAATTGGATAAAAGAAGACTTGGTATTGTAGCCTCTGCAGAATTTGAAACCTTGGTCTCCCATTGTCGTCAATTCAACTTAGTAGCTTATACTGCTAAAACAACATCTTCTTCTACTCGTTCTGAACATCCTCTTCTACGTAACTGAAATAGCAAGACTTTGAGAACATCTATCGACTTTTACAGATTCAGCAGCTAGCCAATGTGAACAAAAAAATAAACTCTATTGAAATTTCTCTCCTTTTTGAGAAAAAGACACAAGGCATGGATGGTTTAGTTCGATTTGTACTGTCTAATTGAAAGCAAGAGCAGTTGTTAGTATTTCGTCGTAGGTTTCCCCAACTATTTCACACTCGAGAAATTAAACCCAAAAAAATAGTAGAAATCCTAAAAAAAAGCCTAATTAATTCAAGAATTGCCTCAAACACCTAAAGAACAAAGTCGACGGACAGATTAAACTCTCTGAGTAATAAAGCCCTAGCATGCCATCAAAGATTAAATGGAGAAACTTGGGATAAGAAGAAGAGGAATACTCACAAGAAACAACGATCCAAACGGGAAAATTCACAAAAGTGCAAAGATAAGATCAGGAAAGCTGATACTGAATTTGCAATAAACTGGCTGTTAACCTTTTGATATAGATAACCTGCCAAGTATCACAAAGAGCTGCCTGCCTGGACTCTAGATTTTGTCTTTGGGATTTTACCAAGATATGTATTGTTGATTCTAACATGCGTTCACTTCTATGTAGCTGATAAATCTTGCGTGGACGGCACAACCGTTTGTTCTAATAAAGGGAAGTATATAATTGGATCCCTTTCTATATTCGATTATGGTTAGTTACTATTAAAATGTTGCTTCACTTTTAGTTCACTTAAAATATTTCATACATCAGTTATAATGGTTTGCCCATTAGGTTCGCCATCAAATCCACTCGTCAACGGCGTGGTCCCGAGGCGTCAGTTGTCATAAAAAGAGGTTTGTCTTGGTACTCTTTAACAATGCTAGCCATATCTGTTTCCTCAATACTTGTATGATATATAGCAACTTATATACACAGGTTGTAGATCAAAGATAATAGGTTGTTGGAATTTCAAACAGTTTCCCAGTAACGCAACCATTTTCAAAATTGTACCAAACTGTAAATATTGTGGAGCTAAAAGGTTTGAATATGAATTAGCAGGATTTTGTTGTAGCAATGGTTTAGTTAAGTTGACGTCATATGAAATGCCAATGAATTATTAAATCTCTACTTAGGCAATACTGAAGAATGTGAACCTTTTCGTACCTACATTAGACTGTACAATAATATGTTTGCCTTTACTTCACTTGGGGTGAATTATGACAAAGTACTAGCAAAAAGAAACCACGGGATTTAAACATTTAGAGTACAGGGTCAAATGTATCACTTCATAAATGATTTGATTCCGACAATCGACAACCAAGAAATTTACAACTGTATTTTTACGATGAGAACACAGAAATATTAAATTGAATGGCTTCCTCAGGTATACTTCGACAGTCAATCATTGAGAAGTTAATGGATATACTAAAGATAAATCCGTATTGTATCTTCTTGAAATCTCTGATACATATCCCAGAATTATCAAACTTTTATATTGCGTTGAGATGTGGTTCTGGCTTAGATCAAAGAGTATATAATTTTCCCACTGTGTCAAAAGTAGAAGCATTATGGCTAGAACAAGAAACAAACAACAATATTTCTTCACCGCATATCCGAATTTACACTCACAGTAACAAAAGTCAAATAGTAAATTACTATTATGGTTGCTACGATCCTTTGCAATATCCGCTTTTACTTCCTTATGGTCGAAATGGATGGCATTGTGGTATCCCAACAATAGTACAACCTAAGAATAAATTGAAAAAACGAGCTTACTATGAGACTGAGCAACTTCCGAGCCTTTGTAACATGTGTTCAATTGATGGACTACTTGATATGGAAGCTGATATTTTGCAAAAAGGAAAACGGAAAAGGAATAATGTTTCTTGTCGTGAATACTAATGTTACAAGCTCCAGATGAGAGACAATGAGGAAAACGGAGTTTTACATTCTGGCAGATTATTTCAACAATACTCAGTTGATGAATTCATAAAAGTAGAAACTCAGAAGTTAGATTTTGCCTCATTTAACCAAGATTTATTTTGGGTTAATGTACTACAAGGACTTCTGGATATCCTGAGACTTGGCGAAAGAGAAGCTTCTAAGATAGAAAAACAAAACTTTCTTCTGACAAGTTTTACAGGAGGTCCAAGAGATATGCGCCAGCATTATATGGATGCTATTGCATTAGTACAACATTTTGAAAAATCTGATATATTTCTGACAATGACATGCAATCCTTCTTGGCCCGAAATAAAGGAACATTTGCTCTCAACAGATGAAACTCAAAATAGGCCTGATTTAATTAGTCGAGTGTTCAAAGCAAAAGTAGAAGAGATGAAAATAGATATATTAAAAAGAAACATATTTGAAAAAGTTGCAGCTTTTATGTAAACTATAGAATTTTAAAAATGCGGTCTTCCGCATGCTCATTTTCTTATTATACTTATTGATGACTACAAATTATTAACGCCTGAGGCTTATGATAAATTTGTTAGTGCTGAGCTGCCTGATCCTGATACGAACTCTTACTTGCATAAGCTTGTTATTAAACACATGATGCATGGGCCTTGTGGTCATTTGAATCCTACAAATTCATGTATGAAAAGAAATGAGTGCAAATTTAAGTACCCCAAGAGCTTTGCCGATGAGACAACAAAAGGAAAAAACTCATACCCAATTTATAGAAGCGAAACACTGGTAAATCTGTGAAAGTTAGGAAACAATTTCTTGATAACTCATGGGTTGTTCCTTACAATCCTTACCTGCTCTATAAATACAATTTCCATATAAATGTAGAAGTTTGCTCTGATATTAAAGTTGTCAAATATATATACAAATATATCTGTAAAGGACACAATAAGATTTTATTTGGCTTACACGAAGATAACACAAATTTACAAATAGATGAGATAAAAGAGTATCGATCTGCTAGATGGGTGTCAGCTCTGGAAGCTATGTGGCGCTTATTTGCCTTTCCTATTAGCGAAATGACTCCAAGTGTTTATCACCTCCAGTTACATGACGGACTACAATTTGTCTCTTATAAAAAAACTGACACAAATCGTGAAAAACCCTATGCTTAAAAAGACGATGTTGACATAATTCTTTTTGATGAATGAAACAAACAAAGATGCTAAACAGCTCAAATTGTTGTATAAAGATTTTCTGCAGTACTTCGTATGGTCATCTACCTATAAAATGTGGACTCGACGACAACGAGGTAATGTTATCGGCCACGTTGTAACGTGTCATCCAACAGAGGGAGAAAGATATTACCTTAGATGATTACTAATGAATGTGAGAGCACCAAAATCATATAATGATCTTTTGACAGTAAATGGAATATGTTGTGCCACATTTAGAGAATCTGCAGAAAAAAGAGGAATGCTGCATTGTGATAACAGCTTGGTCGAATGTATGTCAGAGGCCGCCTGTTATCAAATGCCGTATAATTTAAGACATTTATTTGCTACAATATTAGTATATTGCAGTCCCGATAATCGGAGAGAGCTATGGGAACAATTTGAAGATTCAATGTCTGAAGACTTTAAGAGCCTAGCAAATATAGAGCCAAAGGATATCCACCTTGCTGTCTTGAATCACATCAATGACATACTACATTCTATGGGGTGTGATATTAATGTGTTCAACCTCATTTCTGAAATGATCACATCTTCAAAAATAGCAAATGAAGCGAAGGAAGTGTATTTCGAAAGAAACATCATTGTGAACGATGAAGATTTATTGTTACATAGAAAATTAAATGCCGAACAAAAAATAGCATACGACATAATTCTCCAGAGAGTATTTGCCAATGAATCTGGAGCATTTTTCATTGATGTTCCAGGAGGAAGTGGTAAGACATTCTTATATTGTGCATTATTAGCAACTGTCAGATCTAAAGGATTTGTAGCGTTAGCAACAACAATTTCTAGCGTTGCAGCTTAGATCTTTCCAGGAGGACGAACAACTCATTCACGTTTTAAATTTCCGATTAATATCGATGAAAATTTTTCTTGCAATATCAGCAAGCAGAGCTCACTGGCATCTTTGATTCGCGATGCAAAATTGATTGTATGGGATGAAGTATCGATGGCAAAAAAAATATGATTGAAGCTTTAGATTGTCTCCTGAAAGATATAATGGAAACAAATGTACTTTTTGGTGAAAAAGTTATTGTATTTGGAGGAGATTTTAGACAAACTCTTCCTGTAATTCAGAGTGGACAAAAAGAAGACTTCATTCGGGAAAGTATATTGAACTCTGAAATATGGAATGAGCTTTAAAAACTCCGATTATCAGAGAATATGCGTGCGAAAACTGATCCCTCTTTCTGTGAATATTTGATGCGAATTGGAAATGGAACAGAAAAGACAAGCTTGGATGACAAAATAGAAATTCCGAGATCTTTCATTGTTCCTTATATTACTGAAAAAGAATCGTTGGACCTCTTATTCAACATAATATATCCTGATTTACATATGTCTTTTCATGATTCTTTTTTTTAACCTCTCGTGTTATTTTGACGACAAAAAATGACTTTGTTGATGAATTGAGATAGACTTATATCTCTATTTCCTGAAGATGCTAAGACATTTGTTGCCGCTGATGAAACTGTTGAACCGAATGATCAGAGCCAATTTGAAGATTTTTTATATTCATTGAACCTTGCTGGTTTGCCTCCTTACAAATTAATCTTGAAGGAAAATTGTCCTGTTATGTTGCTACGAAATTTAAATCCTTGTGAAGCTTTATGCAACGGTACACGACTGATATGCTGTGATTTTAAGACTCGTGTTATAAGCGCTAAAATTGCGACCGGTAATTTTAAGAATACACATGTATTTATTCCTAGAATACCGTTATTATCTTCAGATGATGAGAAGTTACCTTTCCCATTTAAAAGAACACAATTTCCACTACGCCTGTGTTTTGCAATGACAATAAATAAAGCTCAAAGACAAACGTTAGATTATGTTGGTATTTATTTGTGCGAGCCAGTGTTTTCTCATGGCCAGCTATATGTTGCTTTATCGAGAGCAAAGAGTTCAAGCTGTATTAAAATATTAATCCGACCACCTACGACAGATAATGATGATGACCACTCTATGTATAACATAGTGTATGATGAAATCATTCAAAAAGCTCTTCTATTACTTTGTAGCTGTCTTGATTATATTCCTTGTGTGGCCTTCTTGTTTGACTCAAAAGTTAACAATATACTTTGTAAGCTAAAAAACAATCAAAAGTAGGAAAGGGGTAAATCGTAATCAAATATAATAATCCTAGAGATGCAAAGATGATAATATTGTTGTAGATCTAGTATTGCAAAGAGACAGTATGAACTTAATAAGATACGTTCGTTTGAAGTAGAGATAGAGAGAGAAAGCTAGAAAAATGAGAGAGTTGTATTAGATCAGATGCCCCTTTTACAATGTGAAGGTCTCCTTTATATAATAGGAGACCTTCCTCGAAAGAATCAAAAAGTTACAAAGATAGGTAACGTCTCCCTAGTGAAGACATTGAGTCCTAAACGATGTCGCTTTTGCCCCCACGGCCGAGTCGTACCCGCTACGTTGGCAGGCGTACACTCATTAGGCATACCCACTGGCGTAGAGATGCTGAGGGTCAAATTTGACCCTATACAGTTAGTCCCTCCACTCGTTGGAGACGCACTCGGTGGGCGTCTTCGACGGGCTGAAACGTGAACCTCGGCTTAGGAGAATTTAACCTCGACCCGGGGCGGCAATACGAATGGAGTGAAATATATGACGTTGTTGAGCCACTGGCGCGCGGCTTCCTTTTTGGAATGACGTCATCGCCTGTATGCGTCATTATTATATTTGCCCCCGAGGCGGTTCAGAGGATGATGTGACATTTTGGTTTCCGGCGCACGTTTTGAATCATGACTCTTCGATTCCTGTGCAACTTATCCCTATAAGTATGAGAGAGGTTCGATTTGATTCCATTTTCAATCCTTCGGAAAGCATTTTCTGATATACCCCCTTGTCTTTCTTTACTGTAACCGTTACTTTGTGAGGGACTCTCCCACTTCTGTTGAAACCACACTTCTTATCGTCAGTGCTTCGTTTCTTAAGTAGTATAATCATGACAAAACGCGGGCAGGGTAATAAAAAGGCCAAAGATAATGCCTCGTCTAGGGTTCCGCCATCTTCTGGTGGTGAAGGGGAAAAGGCGGAGAAGGCCCTTGTTCCTCTCAGCGTAGACAACGTCCTTCCGAAGGAGACGCATGTTCGCAGGGATTTTCCAACTAAAAGCCATGACCTTCCCTGGGAGCACAGCGTTTTATTACAATCACATTTAGATGACCTTCGAGAGACGCACCATATTCCGGACCACGTGGAACTGGTTCCGGCCCGGACGGACTATGCCAATGTGCACCGGCCTGGATATTGCACGTTCTATGAGTACCCGTTCTTGATCGGTTACAATCTTCCAATCTATCCTCTGATGGAGGAGCTTTGCCGTTTTTATAATGTGTCTTCTGCCCAGCTCACTCCTTATACCTTGAAGGTGTGCCGTATTATGACCACCTATGCGGCCAGGGCTGAATGCAGCGTCTCGGTTCACCACCTCTTACAGTTATTCAGCGCTGGTTACCTGAGGGGTACCATGCTGCAGTTAAAAGGTCGGGGCACAAGGGGCTTAGTTGTTAAAGCCGATGATAAGCCCAACCGCCGCTTTTGGCGTAAGTATTTCTACATCAGGACGGAGCACCTGGTGTCGAATCCCGAAGGAGAAAGCAAAGAAATCACAATGGCCGTATGGTCAAAAGCGCAAGCAGCCTGAATTCTACGAATAGAAATACTTACGTTCTGGATTCCATCTTTCCGGGAAC